ATTTTGAAGTTTTTGTAATTTTCTACCGGTCTAAGACTCCGTTTATTCTTAATTTTTTGGCTACCATTGACGAAAGCAAGAAGCTCAACATTCGTGTTTTTGTGATGTCTGATAATGGTAGTAATGATGATGACAATAATATAATTAATGACAACAATGATAATGATAATGATTAACAAAATAATGATAATAATAATGCCAATAATGATTAGTAATAATAAATAATAATAAATTCACTTCTGATCATAAAAACAATTGTGAATATTGATTGATTTGCTAACGATATTACCATTATTTCATATCGATAATAATCGTTAAACCGTCTAATTTATTACCATTACAGTAAACGTATTTACATAGTTTCTTACATTAAAATTCATAACTATCATTCATGATAGTGGCAACAATAATTACTATTGTTTATAAAGGATTTAACTATATTAATAGCAATAACAATAAGGAAAATGTCTTTTCAGCGATCGGTTAAAACTCAGTCCGATATTTCTGGAACATTGGAAGAATTGATGAATAATTTTGTAGATTTATGGGTAAACATAGCAATGAGTAATATCACACGAATAATTGTTGCTTGCTTTATGATTGTTTATTGCATTGTTGCTACACACGGAGTTATGCAAATTAAAGTATAATTTTCATCTAATTTATCAATGTTCTTTTTTCTTTTTCAAAAAACGATAAGTACGTTTACAATTTTTATGTGCCTTATTTATATGACTGAATTAAGTTAAAATATTTATTGTATAAAGCAATTTTTATCTAAAGATTACTTTATACTTATATTTATTGCTTCAATGTTTTTTTTTTTTTTTTTTTTTTTTTTTTTTTAATAATACAAAAGAGCTAAAAATAAAAGATCATTTCTTTTATATACCTCCATATTTTAAATAGTTCCTTTAATTTAGCTAGTTTTTTCTTCATATTTAAATCTTGTTATTATAAAAAATTTCATTTTAAATTTTGCAGTAAAATTCACAAAAGATTAAAAAAACTTATTGCTCTTTATATTATCAAAAGTTTTAAATTTACAGGTTGGATTAACATCCGAAAAATTATTCTCATATGATTCACCATTATTACCATTCGTAAAATTACAAACCGAAATTATTTTCAAAGAAGGTGGCCAGGTAAGTAGCATTGTTGTACCTCAGTGGTTAGGATTTTTCATAATTCTTAACTTCAAATTAGCAGGTCAATTTTCTGAACTCTGTCGGCTAACTTCATTTTTCTTTGGATTTTTTTTTGTGTCATCATTTTAATTTGTGCTAGTTTACTGTACCATTAAAAATTTTAACCTTTACACTTATCTTAGTCTTATTACTCTTAAATCAGTTTATAAGATAAAAGGAATTCTAATTTTGAGATTCATAAAAATTTGGATATTTTATGATTGACATTATTTTTTATCATTTAGGTTGCAAGTTTGATTCTTTATTAAAGATTTTAATTAACACTGGCATATTATTTAAATATATCATTTTGATAATACCAGTCAGTGATTTTTAAAAAAAATCAAGAAATATGAAAACATTTCAAAATTGATTGCAGGTTGCTGTATTTGTAAATAATCCGGGTGATATGCGGAAACCAGAAATAATTCCGGAAGTAATGAGACTTGTTAATGATTTCGAGCACGCTACAGGAAGCATCGGTTCTGCCAGTACTCACTTATGGTTTATTCCGTATTTGTCATATGTAGGAATACAGGTATGCCAAAGAAACATTATTTCTTTATTTCCTGCAGTAATTCTGCATTTCTTCGCCGATATCTTTTATGTGCATTCAGATTTTTTGCACAATATCGCAGATTTTGCAAATTACACTTCGAATTTTTAATTTTATGAAAAAAAGAGTAAAAATATAGAAGAGAAAGCGAATCAGTTTCTTTACTTATTACTTTGCAAGAAAACAATGAGCATTTCATCCTATTTACAGGAACGTGGTGAAATTGGTTTCAAATATAAATATTTACCAGAATTTATGAAATTACGTGAATATCACAGTTGGAATTCATTTGTCAATCTTGGAGCAACTGAGTAAATTCTTGTGATAAATTGTTGATAAATGAAGTTATGATAATAATGCAAATGACAATGAACTGGTTATGCTGACTAGTCCATACTATCAATCTCATTTATCTTTCATACTATCAATCTTATCAACGATTTTTCTAACATATTTTTGTAGTGATTGTATGAATGAAAAACCAACTTGTTTACAAAAATTCTTCTTCTCAACGGGTTTTCGAAATGCTGTGCAATGGTCGGAGCGTTTACAACTGCTGCAGGAATGGCGTGATATTGCTGCTCATTATTCGAAATTTAATGTTTCAATTTATGAACCTTTCAGTATGTATGCAGATCAGGTATTCTATTGCTTTGAAATTATCTCAGATTTTTATGAATGAGAAAATAATTGATGAATATAATGATTTAGATTTAATTGATTTATTAAAATGAAAAGAGATTATTGTAGTGATTTAGAAATCAATTCAAATCTTAAAATAAAATCAAAATTGATTTATAAATTAATCTTGTGTTATTTTAATTTTAAAATTAATATGAAAAATTGACTCTATTTAATGTGATGCAATTAACATTTAATGTATTTTAAATGAATTAATTAAAAATTGAATAGGAAGCAAAAACTTTCTCAATGATTAATTAATTAATCTATAAGAATGAATTGTATCATTTTAGCTCCTTACAATAGTTCCGGTGACAAAGTCTACTGTGATATTTGCATTTGTTGTTATGGCACTTGTACTGACCACTTTCACACCTTCTATAACAACAATCGTTTCATCCACTCTTTCAATCCTATCAATCAATTTGGGAGTCCTCGGATCACTGACATATTGGAATATCGATCTTGATCCTATTTCAATGGCCACTATATTAATGGCCATTGGCTTCTCTGTGGATTTCATTGCTCACATCACATTTCATTATTATAAAGGCCAAACAAAGGTAATTGTTAAGTGATGGAACGATTATAATTGATAGACTTATCTTTTCATTCCTAAAACAGCCAATTACTTTAAGGGTAAACATGAACGTTTGAAGCATGCCTTGAAATCGATAGCATGGCCTATGACACAGGCCGGTATATCAACTATATTATGTCTGTGCGTCCTTGGTGTAATCCAAGCTTATATGGTGAAGGTTTTCGTTAAAGTAGTAATAATAGTCGTCGTGCTTGGCCTTCTCCATGGTCTCATTATTTTACCTGTTGTCTTTGGTGCAATACCATTGAGGAAACGAATTGTTACTGATATTGACAAAGTATCACCAAGTTCAGCTCTTCAAAAGGTTCATTTCTTATTATTTTTCCTTCCAAAATTATACAGTCAACTCATATTTTATGACTTTTTAATCAAAGTGCTGGAAATTTTTAAATGCTTTAAATATAATTAATTAAATTCATCATAATTAAATTAACACTAATAACGATAGAAGTAAAAATTTATGTATGAAACTACAACAAAGAATCGTACAAAAAAAACTGAGAGAAAAAATTAGCGAAAATTTTACTCGAATTTTTCATTTTATTATTTCTATCTCAATTTTGAACAATTTTGCATTGATTTCAGAATCATACAATACGAATAGCTGTACCAGCAGCAACACCAATAACAACCAGAAGAAATGAGCTAGAAAAACAAATTTCGGCGGGTCCACGTTATCATGATTCGAGGGGTTAAAATCACTTAATTTTTTCTCTAATTTAAGTATTTAAGTGCAATTACTTAACAAAAAGTAACAGACAAAGAGGCATTATTGTTCTTTAAGAAAAAAATGGAATCGTTTCTAGCATCTAAAATTATTTTTTATTTAATAAGTAAGTATAAATAAACTTTAATAAACAATACTCACTCTCGTATCACATCTAATTTCAGCTAGTTAGCACATAGCTTAATTTTTAAAAGTACGTCAATTAAAACTGATGTTTTGCAGTCCTGGAGCATTTTTATTTCGAGAAAAATTTTTGCTATGCATAATACTACACACTCCATATTTTTAAAAAAGTTTTTCTAACAGTATTGCTTAGAAGCTTAATTAATAAGAGACAGATGAATGGTAATAGTGAATTTTGTGTAATATTATTTGTTCTTATTAATATAATTAATTATTATTAATAAATCAACCTCAGCAAAATGATTGCCCGTATAATTAGAGAAACTTTAATGAAGTACTATTTTAGCAGTATTTATTTTATCGGTACTATTGAATTAGAAGATTTTGAAGAAACACAGTGTATTTGTTTGCCTGTTCAAAATTACTATTTTTAAAATTCTTCAAATTTGACAAATTCATTTTTCATCAGTACCAAGAATACAAGATACCGTAATATGACATAATCATATAGTAATCTAACGTACTTTATCATTTTTTGCTGAAGCAACTTAAGATTGAAACTTTTCTTTATTTGTATTTTTGCAGCAACTATATATTTTCATCTTTTTTTTTTTTTTCTTATTGCCTATGTATATATAAGAAGAAGCTCTAAGTGTTTTCTTTTATTTTAACATCATAAAAGTCATAAATATCATAGAGTTACTCAGTATCCCGCGAGATTTGGGGTTTAATTTCTATTTATATTATAAATAAGTAAAAGTAAACCTTAAATGAGCAAAAATTAAAGTGAGCTAATTCTAAATAAATTTTTACGCATAAATTATATGAATCAAACATTTCTATAAATCATTTTATTGCTCAAACTCGAGATATCATTCATAAAAATAAATCAATATAATGGTAATCTTTGGACTAACTGATCTGAGCAAAGACATTAACTGCGATTTTATATTCTCTCAATCATATGATTTTTCATTGAATCATAGAGTACTTTTGAATGAAAAACAAAAAAAAGACAGGAAATCTTGGATGGTATTCCATTTCCTTTCTTATTTTGAAATGAATTTCAAACGACTGTTATTTGGGAACAAAGGAAGAAAGACGGATTATAATGTCACCATGATGTCACCTTTTGATATTAGAGTTACCACCTGTAATTCCACCTGCTGTTGGTTTCTTGGGCAACGATGCATCAGTGGAATATGTATTGCAATGAGGACACATCCATGTTACTTGTGCGCATCCGCTCAATTGTCTACATCTGAAATTTCTCTTTTCTAATTGTGAAGTTGTTTTGAAATTTCAAAACTTAATAAGTGATAAAGAATGAATAAGAAGCAAAGATAATTATATCAAAGACCAAATCAGTATCTGATTATCACTCATATAATGAGAAAAAAAATCGTAATTTCTCTCTTCATAGACAAAAAATAAACCTATGTTTTCATCATTTAAAATTTAAGCACTTTAATCTAAAAACAATAACAGATAATTTGAGAGAAAAGTTCAAGATATTATTCGTGTGCAATCCATTCGTTGAGTAGCGATGATTTAATCACTGCTTGCTTATTTGCTAATTGAATTAAAGAACAATGAATAAATTCAAAAATTCTTTTTTTTATTCATGAAGGAAACATAGAAAAAATGTCTAATAAAATTATTCTTTCTTCTTCATCATTTCCATTTTTTTTCTCATTCCTTAAAAACACATTTGCATTTAGTTAATAAAATTGGCTCAGCAAAGTTAATAAGATGAAATGACCTTTGGCGAATGTTAAAAAAAAAATCATTAAAAAAATAAATTGAAAAAAATAAGCTTTAAGCAATAAATTAGTGAAGAGTTAGCAAAAGATTGTATCTTATTTTGGATGAATAAATACCTTATTAAGGTAATTAATTCACGTATTCAAAATATTCACGCAATCTAATATTTAATTAATCAATAAAGTCAAAAAAAAATTTTTTTGCTAGTTATTTGCTATATGAGAAAATATTTAAAAAAAAAAAAAAAAAAAAAAGTAATTGTAAGATTTCAATGTAGTGATTATAATATCAACGGTGATAAGAATGGATGATACAAGGATGTAACCATTTCCTACATAAATATTCTCTTTCTTGTATTTCATAAGCTCAGATTTTAATGTAAAAAAGGGGAAAAAATATTTGTATAAAAAAAGTTTTAAATTTTAGATCAAATAGCCGTAATATACTTTTGACAGGTGTGTGATTTCATTCCTGGATTCTTTAGCAATATTGTCAAACGATCCAACATTGCAGCACGGGCCCGAACTGATAAGCATTCATCTACATGAAAAAAAAAAAAAAAAGATGTATTTTAATCTGCTTCTCAAAAGTTTTAAATTTAATCAAAAAGAAAATATGTGAGTGAAATGATGGGATTAAAAATGCCAACAAGTTTGTTGTTGAGTCATTTCGAGTAAATGCTCTGGTCGATGAAGCATCTGAAGGCAAGGATCGAGCAATTGATGAAGGAAGCACCGATCCAGTAGCGATAATCTTACAAACACTGATAGCTAGAATTGGACGAATATTTTTGGAATTGAAAATATATCAACAATGAAAATGCAATTTAGTAACATAGAAAGGATGGTAATTTGTAAGTAATTTTCATCATATTGCATAGATCATTTTAGTAATTAATGATTGTTTTTCAATTTGCGAATTAATTAAATGATTCGAATTCAAATACCTCCGTAAAATACACTTAAAATAGGAGAAAGTATCTTAAAAAATACATTGTAGTAGTTTAAAAAAAATAAAATTAATTTTGCTGACTTGAGTATGAGGCGCAAGAAGCAACATTGCGCACTTCCTTAGCAAACCCGATGATTCCATCTTACATGCTGCCATCAGTACTGGTCCTATATTAGCTTCTGCAATTCAAGAAATAAACCATTAAATTTAACCAAACATTTCATATCGAATTCACTTGAATGCTTATCGCTGAATGGATATACCAACCTGTTATCCTTAGCTGTGGTGGATAAACAGCCATTAGAAAAGCTTTTAATTCTTCATGCGTACATGGACAAAATATTTCATCCATATTTTTGATTGATGATATACGTTCCTAAACAAATTCTTTTTAAAAAATCGTCCATATTTTTCTAAAAATTTCTAAAATTTTTGAATAAATTTCGAAGAAAATGTTTGAACCTATTAATTTTCATTTTAGTATTGTTTATATTTCAAAAATTTGAAAAAACTTCCGAAGTAGATAATTTGAATAAAACTTAAAATTCAAACCAATTAAATCAATATTTAAAATAAAGATTTCCTGAAAAATTAAGTAAATAATGCTAATATTTTACTTGGAAAACATTTGACCATGCAGCAATGTAATATGGATTGACATAATAACCGCGACCTGTTTTACTACGAATCATTGCAAAATTTAATTCTGTAAGACGATGGAACTGTTCCAGGTCACTGGGTTGTTCCAACATTTCCTGTAAAAATTATTGTCTTATCATTTTTATCAGAAAATATGAGCATATTTTAACTAATAAAATTTTCGGGACTTGTTCAAAAATAATATTAAAAAAATGTATCAAAATTTGTTCATATTTAGAAAAATTTTCTACAGATTGCGAGAATTTCTACAACCTCAGGTGCTGAAGATCCATGTAACCTTTCTAGCAATAATACTTTGACACGATCACTTAAACCATAATAACGGCTACCCGTGAGATCAATTTTTGAATTAGGCCTCATCTCTCGTAAACATAATACCAATAAACGATTTAATTTATATCTGAAATTGATAAACTATAAACCAAATAGAATTAATACGAAAAGCAATAAATAGCTTGGAAAAATTGCAATGAATAAATGCAATATTTCCCGGCTATTGGTCAATTATTGAAAACTTCCAAGAAACAAAAAAGTTTATACATTTATTTGAATTTATTTTAGCAATCAGAACTAATTATTTACCTATCAGCTAGCCAAACTTTTTCCAAGAAAGGCAATTTATGTTGCACAAGGAAGCATTCACAACGATGCAAAAGACCATCCATCTGAAATTTTTTTTTTTTTTGTAACTTCAAAATTTAAATTAGTATTCTTATTGTAATTTAAAATAACATTAAAAATGCTTATTATCTAATTCCATATTTAATATGGTAAAATATCTTAGAAAGAATTTTTTTTTAATTTCATCTTCTAAGCTTCTTCTAAGCTTAAATACAAAGATCTTCTAAGCTTAAAATACAAAAAATTATGGTGTTATTTACGCATTTTACGTAAAGAAAAAAAACAATTATAAAAAAAAGCTTATAATATTATATATATATAAAAAAAAAAAGCTTATAACATTAGAAGATAAAATGATTACCTGATAATCAAAAGCAAGTGGTAATAAAATATGTACAGACTGATCGTCTACTTCCTTATAAGTTGGATGTATGCAATGAAGCATTTCGAGAACGTGATCGTACTGAACATTAGCTAGGATCAGCTCACGATCTGGACATTCAACACACCATGCACTGAAACAAAAAGTTTCTAAAATTGTTGGTACAAATGATTCATTTTTGTTTTAAACGAATATGATAACCCATATATATATATATAATGATTTTGAATTTTGAAAAAAAATTTTTTTGCCATAATTTTTAGCAAGAAAAAGAAGAAATAAAAGGAAAAATTGAATAGTAATGAAATGTATTTGCATTTGTTTAATTATTCTGTGAAATTTATTTGCATGATAGCTTAATATCCTAAATGTTTAATTATATATTTAGAACATAGCTTAAAAGATATTTTAAAGTAAGCAATATTTGATTTAAAAAAAAAAAAAAAAAAAAAAAAAAAAACTTTAATTTAATGTCAAGCCTCTTGACAGTGAATTAAACATATACATATTTCTTCTTCATATTTCATTTAATTATACATCACATCATCCTATTTTACTATTTTATCATAATTTCCATTTTTTTTTTTTTTTTTGCAATTTTCAGTTGAGCAATTTTTTCGATTCTTAATAATATTAAATTTTCAAAAAATATATCAAATAAAATATTTTATGTTATTGGTATTATTTGCGCCATTTTGAGAAACGAACCGTAAAACGGGTGACCATACAGAGATGTAATGCTCGTCTACATATAAACGTTTCCCATCCACCAGAAGCGGTCGAGTACGTTGACCATCCGGTCGAGTAAAATCAATTATCACCTCAATAGAACTTACTGCGGTTCTGTCACACTTTTCCATTGCATTCTACAAGACAAACCAAATTCATTCCATCATATGCTTTAAAGGAAGGCGCTATAGTCCTCAACGTTTTTTTCAAATTATACAACTTAAGATAAGAAGCCTAAATAGAAACCATATCAAACATAATAAGTATTGGAATAGAAAAAAAAACTACTTTTTTTCTTATTGTTGACATTTATATATTAATACTTCATGCCTTATCTTTTTATTCTCGATAACAGAAAATTAAGGGACTATAATGTGACAATTTTGAGTTAGTAATAAATTAGATAGGCCTGGCAAAAGAGAACCATAAAGATCGTTGCAAAATATATGGGAAAGAAGTTATTTTGATTATATTAATGAAATGACAGATAAAAGTATGAAATTCTTCTTTGCTATTCTTTCTCTTTTTCGTTGACAATTCACTAAGTGAATAATTTACTTTTTCCATTTAAGCATTAATTATTAGGAATGTATAAAATTCCTTCCTCTTTCTTTCTTTTTTTTTTTTCGAATGGGAAGAATGTTTATGATTAGAGTTAAATTTCAGTATACAACAATTTATGATTGCAAAATGATAGAATATGTTGAAGTATAGCATTATTGATTGGATGATGAACTATAAAAAAACTATGTTTTTTAAATGAGTAATTTTAGTATAGTAAAAATAGAAGAAAGAATAATTCCCTTATATTTGTTAGGTTTATGTTTTTAGAAATGCAAAATATCGCAAATGGAATTAAAAAAAAAGTTACAGGCATTGATCAATTTGCTGAAATGTAACATTGGGGAAAGGAAATTGAATTAAGAATAATAAAAATATACAACTTTCAATATCCATCTAACAAATTTGATTATTTCTACTTTAGCATATTATTTCCTTTTTTGCTCTTTGCATATAAACTTGAAGAAAGGAAAAGTAAAAACTTTCAATGCAATATTATAAATTTTGGAAGCTACCAACGAATTATTTGAATGATATGAAAAGAAATGACAAATGCTTTTTTGCAACTAATCACTGAAGTATTATTCAATAAAATTAGTGTGTTTATTATCGTGCATACAGAGCATACTCAGATCAATTTAGTATAAACTAAGAGGTGAAAACTTGGCAATAAGCCTTCCTCAATGCTTAATAATTTATTCAAGCATTAAATTAGCAAGTCTATCAGATCTGGTACTAAATTCATGTAAACATCTATATCCGATATATAATTTAATGATTTTGTGTTCATAGAGAAAAAAAAAAAACTCTTTAAAAAAGCTATCAATAATTCTTGAGAAAGAAAGATATTGAAATAAATAAAGTAATAAGTAATGGTTTACAGCATGTAAATAGGGAAAAGAAATAATTGAAAATATATTTTGTTATATCTCATTCATCATTATTTATCATCCTTCATCCTTCTTCATTTTTCTCCAGTATTTTCACAGTCCAATGGATCGGTAGTTGAAATAGAAGAAAGTGGATGGGATATTGAGTAAACAAAATATTAAAATCCCAAAGGAAATCCTAGAAATAACGAATAATTACGGGATTTTTTTTCTTCCTTTCTTTGTTTTTCGTGCATTAATCTATGATCTTAAAGGCGAATGTATGTCTAAATTGTAGCAATGATAATTCGGATTATTCAACGATAGATATAATTAAATACTATTTCATGCATTGTTGACTATTTTCTTCCAATAACTCATCTTGAAATTCAACCTATCGCAGAAGTAGCGATCGATATTCATGACATTATTCATTGAATGATAGTAATGTATTTTATAAAATGATGATATACTCTAAACTTCTATCAATAAATCTTACTATTGAATTGATACAGATGAAAATAATTATTCAATGAACTAGAAGTATATTTTGTATCTAAGAACACTAGAAAATCAGCCTTTGATTGGAAACTGCGAAGATATTAGAATAGAAAGTTAGCCTTTTTAAATCTTCAAGTTTTTAACTAAGCAAAGCTTTTAATTTTATTTGTAAAGAAAAAAAAGACAGCAAGCTTCGATTATACCTTATCGGGTGATGATGAAGGATAATTACCAACGGCTAGTCTGGATGAAGACGGCTGTGAATTGAAATATTCGCAGTCGTCGTTATCGATCATAATTTTGGCTTATGCGACATTTGTGTTTATTTGAAATGCGAAAATAAATGTCACCAATTGAAGATATCAGTTCATAAATAATTACTGCAGATATAATTAGCGCTAGAAATAAATGTTCGTCATTTATTTGTCTGTTTGTCTGCCGATGTACAGTTTGATCTGAAGGAAATTCTGTGAAAGAAAATTTACGTACTGTCAGTTGCACCTAGGCATTGAAAAAATATATTAAACCATAAGTTGCTTTTGTAAATAATCGTTTTATCTCTTGGCATACATAAAATTGATTTAAAAATTTTTCAAATTATTCTAATACTCCATAAAATTATCCTCACATCTTATCCTATTGAAATTTCGATACTTCTACTACACTATTTCTTATTCAAAAAATATTAGTGATATAGGACACAGACAAGCATGGTGACAAAATATGCGAATACTAAATTCAATTTTCTTAGAAAAAAAAGGCAATCCAATAATTAAAAAAGTATCGCTTTGTACACAATATAAATTAGAATAGCGCAAAAAGCTTCGTCAAAATCATTTTAAGATTCGATTTGAATTTTTTTTCAAAAAAACCAAAATCAGAGAAAAGCTCAATTCGATTTCACTTTAGTCATTGCAATAAATTCAAAAAGTATTTAAGTTCGTATCGTATGAACGAATATTAGCAAAATATTTTTGAATGTTTTAATTTCCAATAAAAGAAGATGGAAAGAATAAGTAAGGAAAACGAATTCAGTGATTAAACAAGGAATTTTCTATGTTGCTTTAAAGATCAAATGAGAAAGAATCGAAATTTGTTACAAAGTTTATAAATAAATGACAATATCGTTAGCTTAATGTAGGAAGAAAAGATGACACATTTATTTGAGAAGTTGAAATGATAAAATGTGACACTATGATATTTGAAAAATAAAAACAGAAACTTTCTGGAGTTAATTAGACAGAACGTTTGATAACAAAGTAGACTAAGTGTGCAAATGGCATCGTCAAGATCGATTAACATGCCAATATATGGACATCCGGGAAAAAAAGGAGCAAAAAACGATGAAAGATGGAAATTTTAGACTACCATTGAGATACTTGCATGTATATGCATACACATACATACACATACACATACATGCATACATACACGTGTATTTACATCCCTTCTGAAGTAAGTAATAAAACGTTTTTCCTTGAAGGCATCCAAGTTTATTGCTTGCATTTTTTCCTTTATGTGTAAGTGCAATTGGCTAATAAAAATTAGCAAAGGAAAAGATTAGAAATTCTTTCATAATTAATATTTTTGGTTAAAAATGAAAAATTCATAATGCGGAAGGATTTTGAGATTTGAGAGATCGAGAATTCATAATGCGGAAGGATTTTGAGATTGGAGAGATCGAGAATTCATAATGCGGAAGGATTTTGAGACTGGAGAGATCGAGAATTCATAATGCGGAAGGATTTTGAGACTGGAGAGATCGAGAATTCATAATGCGGAAGGATTTTGAGACTGGAGAGATCGAGAATTCATAATGCGGAAGGATTTTGAGATGGAGAGATCGAGAATTCATAATGCGGAAGGATTTTGAGATTTGAGAGGTCGAGAATTCATAATGCGGAAGGATTTTGAGATTGGAGAGATCGAGAATTCATAATGCGGAAGGATTTTGAGACTGGAGAGATCGAGAATTCATAATGCGGAAGGATTTTGAGATTGGAGAGATCGAGAATTCATAATGCGGAAGGATTTTGAGATTGGAGAGATCGAGAATTCATAATGCGGAAGGATTTTGAGACTGGAGAGATCGAGAATTCATAATGCGAAAAGGTTATGCTATATTGTTTTTAGAAAGAATGAGTAAATAATACTCAAAACTTTGGGTTATTGCAAGTTTATCTCAAATAATTTGCATGAAAAGGAAATAAAACAACCTTAGATATATACCAATTTTTCGATCACGAAATATCTTTTGTTATCTTCTTTCTTTCCTTTGATAGAAAATTGAGAATTTAATAGAATTTCAAAAACTCGAATCACTTTCCCTTCTTCTTTCTCTCTCCCTCTGCCTCGCTTTGCTGACAGTCAAAATTTAGAACTCAAGTGCTTCTATACCATATTGCAAAGATTTTAGGCTATGTTAACTTATTTAGAAATGTTCAGCTTTCAACCAAAAAAAGGAATTGGAAAAAAAATAATGAAATTGGTAGACATTTTTCTCTTTTAACGTTTTTTAATGCAATTTACTTAGAAATGAACTAAGCAAGTTTGATCTTTTAATCACTTAGTTATGTCAATTTTTTGTCTGTTTCTTCAGAAGTGATTAATAATTCAAACATTTTACAAACAGCTTGCATATCACAAATATTTTTTAGGTAAAAGATTTTTATTCAGACAGAAGATGAGCAAGCTTTTTCCTCCTTTTATCATTCAAATATTTTAAAAATCTGATAACTATTCGTACCAAACAGAAACAGAATATTACATCAATATTTCTTCGAATTTTTGCTAGTTTGGAGATTTTAATATCAAAATATGACGTACTGTAATCAAATTATTCATTTGTTGTTATACCATTAAAACATTAGCGTTTTTTTTTTTTTCAAGAAAAAAGGTTGAATACTGTTCGACAGGTAAAGTAGAAAACAGAAAAGTATCAATTATGATAGTGATAATAACAGTATTGATGCGATAATAATAGTATGGTGGTACTATTATGATGATAAAAAATAACTATAATAATAAAGAAAAAGTAAGTAGCATTAGTAAAATGGAATATTTTTGAAATGGGCCAAAAAATTGCAGATTACCAAATAATATTCTTTACATTTCTGAATCTCTACTCTTTTCAAACTACTTTTAGTTTCTTTTTTTCACTTTTCTTTCTTCATGCAAATAAAACATAATCATTTCCATACTACTTCTCATGTTCTTACTACTAGTATTGCTTCTAAGATTCAATACACAATATCGCCCATCTTATATAAAATCCAAAATCCTTAATCTTCTTTCTTAACTCCTCACTCCTCATTTCTGAATAGTAATGGTAGTAGTAAAAAGCTAGCAAAGAAGCAAGCAACATCCCCAATATCGATAAGTGGATAATTTTCCATACTATTTATCCTTCTCACCAAAATATGTCTGATGATGAGATCAATAAATTCTCAGAAAGAAAGGAAAAAGTGAGGAAATTATACGATTTGAATATTTCATTTTTTATTGCTTACTATAATGGTAATTGTTGTAAATGTTATTTAGATATTGTGATATCAAATGAAACATAGTTACTTTCAAATTGAATTAGAGAAATGAAAAAGATTTATAAATTTCGATTTCGCCTTTTGGAATTAAGAATAAACATCAGATATATTAACTGATTCAACTTAATTCTGCTGCATCTTGTCCATTTTATTAACTATAATTCAAACGTTGACTAGTATTCCAATATCAAAAGTGATTTATGATGGCAAGCCTATCATGCTAACAGGAACAAAATATCTAGCTTAAATAAATCAAGTTAACTTACAGCTGGAAGCAATATCCTTTTTGCAATGTGCGACAGTGCTGTACATTCAAGTTGTTTCAGATATCATATCATTCATTCCATCAATAGCAAAAACGCCACATTACTTGTAGGAAAAGCATGAAGAATCAGGGATAAACTTTCAATCTTCGACTGATTGTTAGATTATTTCAGTTTCAAATCCATTTCAAAACACATCGTGACATGTCGCATACAAATACGTTACTACCATGCGTGAAACTTTACATTATTTTATAATGGCATATTTATTAGTACTATAACAACATCGATAAATTTTTCAGATTAAAATATAATACATCAAAAAAGTCGAGCAAGTAGCGGAAAACAGGAATAATTTAGGGATGTAAAATCATTTCTAGCTAAAGTTCGATCAATTCCTGAAAAAATCAAAAGAATCGACAAACATAAAACGGAAATGGATCGAAAAAAGCTAACTTCTTGAATCAGCTAATAAATATTATAAATAATAATACCTATAATTTCTCTGTACCAAACAACCAAAAATGATATCATAAATTCACTGGACAAAAAAAAATGTCGAATGGGCATTAATTGCCGCACTTAATTAGCATAAATCACCGCATTCCATACAACTAATATTTCTTCTAGAGAGAAATAGTTCGATATTAAAAACTATTGGAAATTTAAATGAGTTATTTCAAATCGAAATAAACGAAAGACATATAATTACTGATTCTGGAGTATTAAAATGCATGCCGATACCTTACTAAGAGTTTACCTGAATGCTTTAAATTTCCGATCCCATCGGCTACCGAAGATACGGAAGAAAGAACCAGATGAAATCCGAGAGGAATATTAAGGGGAAAACTTCAACTGAGCCAATGCAAATCTCAAAGTGTTGAAACAAAGAATTATCCCGAAACCTCCAAATTTCATTAATTTTAAGGAAGTTATATAGAGCTATTAGTCTGAATATGGCTCGTGAATAAAAATCAAGTACAGTAAACAGCGAAAGAATAATAATAATTGATTACAAGTCCTAAAGGATGAGTAATCATAACCAAATAGGAACAAATGCGAAGAGATGAAAAGTGAGGGATGAATACACTGATCAAAGAAAAAAAAAAAACAAATCATTAAAGTAGAAAAAATTATATAAACTGTCGAAATAATGCAAATCAAACAGCTTAGCAGAATGAAAGAAAACAAAATGAGATTGCACGAAGTTAAAAGAAAGAAAAAAAAAACTCTTAGTTATGGCAATGTACCTTAAGACAATTATACATTTGAATAAGATTATTTAAATTCTTCTATAATTTTGTCTTTTTCGCTGGGTTACTTCGGTAAACTGCTAATAAAAAGAAATTCGCCAGTGTTTTAAAAATATCATTATCACTACCAATATCAGTGAAAGAGCAGCTGAAAATTTTCACGTGATTTTTGTTCAAGGAAAATGAAGCCTCAAACATCCTTTTAGAAAAACAGAAAGACTACAAGCTGTTCGGCCTCAAACTTAAAATATAATTCCAGCAGAGCATAAAACGAGAAGAAAATGTAGAAATAGAGCAACCAGTAGGATTGATTAATGATGCTGTAATTTTCTATCAGTGTTTTTAAGCCTAACTATAGTTATTGAGTGAAGATTGAAGAATAAAATATTTGACACTTTTTGTTTTGTTTTCTTGCTTTATTTAAAAAAAGGAAACAACGCAACGAAATGAAATGAAAAGTTTCTTTCTTTAGCGGAGCGTCTTTGTGAGTTATTTCTTAAAACATTACTGACTAACAAAATATATAATTACTAATGTTAGAAAACAGATAAACACAATATTTATTGTCATTCATGAACTATGTCGCGTAATTCATCGACAACTGCATAGATCAACTGCTGATCAGCAGAGCGACCATCGATTTGAATCTTATCACCCTGAAGAACAACTTACGAAATGACTTACAAAAAGTAATTTTTAAAACAGCTTTTATCATCTTCATATCTCTCTACCTCAATATTTCTCTGAATATCACATAAGAGATTCAACGTTCTAAATCATTAATGGTTTAATGAATCTAAATTTTTAAAAACAAATACCCTAAGCATAAAACAGAAGTTCGAAGCTTTCTAAAATAGTTCGGTGAAAGTTTCAAATTAAATTTGTGAACCTAATACAAAACGCTGTCTTTTAATTCCGAGTATTTATTTCATGAGATAAAATATTGTTCAAAAATGAAAATTCAATTGCATGAAAGGATGAATATTAATAAAGTCTCTATCAATAAGAAATGAAGCGACCTGTTGTTTGATCAAAATACAAACTGATTCAGCTTTTATAGTATGAGCATAGAGAGCCGCTCCTGTATTATTCTGCTTCACTACTAAAAAAAAATATGTCAATAAATTTAATTTAACAGAAAAAATCAAGCTAATAAACTTCAGACATAAAGATGGGGATGAAAAACCGGGTGAGCTAGGTGTTTCTCAAAATTCATAGTAGAAAATATTTCTATTATACTTCAATTATATTCTCTAACATATTTCTTACCCAAAAATCATACATGTTGCGCTTTTTTAAATCCACTAACACTCAGCTAACGGATCTAATAATTTTTCTTTTAAAAATAGTAATTTCATAAATATATCCTAAACCTTATGTGAAATGCTCATGGATGTACATTTTCGCAAATAGTCACATCACTTGTAAGAATTAGTTTTGAATAATAGATTAATCTGAAGAGACAAAAATAAAGCATAGTAGCAAATGTGAGCATACGGAGTACAGAAAGCAACAATTTATTTGTATGAAGCAAAAATTACCGTTAAAATGAGCGAAAAAGCAGATCTTCTTTAAGACTGTGTTCCATGGAAGACTGGTAATTAATTGCGCAGATGATTTATAGCCCATATCACTCGAATTTAATAATATGTCATACGATTCGCTGAAAACTAGGTACGAGAATTACTTTTGTATGATGGATGAACTCGAGGCGACACAATTTTTTTCGGCTTATAAAATTGACAGTTCAATAATAAAAAAAAAAAATGATAAAAAATCGGACAGCACAATGAAGAAATGTGAAACTTCTGAATCATTCCTAATCCAACAACTATAAAAATAAACACGTGAGTGCCACACAATTCATTCTTCGCCACTTCTGATTCGGTTTGAAAAATACCTTGTAATGGTAGCAGGCACAAGGAAAGAAATCACTGGCATCAAAATATGGAAATCTAGTTTGTCTTGGATAGTTTCGCTTCTACGCTAAAAGCAAAGTGATTAATTAGTTAACAAAATTATTTAACAAATTATGTCCAACGAATTATGCATACAACTTGCATTTTGCTCAAAAAAAAAAAAAAAAAAACTGATGTAGTTGCACCACAGAAAGTTTACAGTTTAATTATATAGCTCACTTCTGCAAAGAATGTCAAATTGCCTCTCAACTTCTGTGGCATGTTGATTGCTTTCACTGAGAATCTGAAAACATGTTCAGCGGAGACTCCGGCAGGAAGCTGAAATGACAGTGGAATTGCAGCCTGAAACAAATTATATTTATGGATAATAATCATTTTTTTTTTCAGTTCAAGTTTCAGTTAACTTAAATGTCTCAAGGTTTTTCACTAGTCTGCAATGAAAAATTCTTTGGAGATGAAATATTCAAGTTGGCAAATTACTGGTATAAATAAGGTCATTGAAATGTTCCAACTGAATTTTATGAAAGAAAAACAAAATGTTGATGTGGATATTATCAAATCTTGCTTAAACTAGAATATGCTGTAATTGAAGAAATATTTTCCCTTCCCTGCCCTCACATTTTCTAAAATCACAATTTTATTTAAAATAATATATTAAGAAATATTACCAGAGATGACTTGCCCTCTTCACGTAATAAACGTGTATTAATTGTGTCTAAGACGTTCATCTCTAAATTACGCAAAGTACAGCATCCTTTGTTTGAAAATACGATTCCAATTGCAATCTGATTTGCATCATCAGTTGATACTCGAGTTTCGTAAGTCTAAAAGAGATAAACATCTTTGAAAAACTGCAGAGACTCTCTGCTCTATTAATGCGGCAAGACGATAACCAGAAATTTAAATACGTGACGAAACGTCTAAATCTCGGACTACTAAAAGTTTAGAGCACTAAAGAGGGTTGGATGATTTTCTAGTGATGTTACAACTTCCTGCCGGATAAAGTCTACACAAACGTTTGTTATGAGGGAAGCTTCCATAGATTAAACATTATATTTCCGTTGCTTATTAAGTTGAGATACCAACCAATTTTAAATCTTCTGTTTCACCCAGTACTTTATAAGAACTCAATCGCAATTTTGTTGCTTTTTCTTTCGCATGGTATAAAGAAGAATCTTCGTGCGGTGTTAGGGCTTCATTCGATGAACTTGAACCAAAATGTAAATTTGGATTGCTTGGAGTACAAATACCCGAAGCTGCCTGAAAATTTATTATTATCTTCAATATCACTACATATTCGGATTTCATAGATTAAAATGACAAAATCTGTGTATGAAAAGCAAACTGAAATGGATTTTATGATATTAGTTTGTCTAACTAAATTTATTCAATTTGACATGCTTAGCAATAAAAACGATAAGGTGTGAGGCACTAGATTCATTCCACATTTCAATAGACATTTCTTCTTCCAAATAGAGAACAGTAGAGAAGGCATTAAAAAACGAAATCCATTATAACCATTAGCTGGACTTTTTAAACCTTACTTCATACACATCCTTATCAATTGGTTCTTCGATAACACTTCTCTTTTTTCTACCATTTCCAGTTTTTGAATCATTTTTCTGAAATTTGATAAAGCTGTTCATATAAAAAGAAACTATGGTTTATAAAAAAAAAAGAAAAAAACTACCAGAAAGATAAACATCCAATATTTAATATCTTTCAAAATGGTTTTTAATAGCAAGGATATCACAAAAATTATTTCAGTCAATTCAGATATATGACTAACTAATTAGACAACCCACTTTTGCAGAATTTTTTGTTTTTTTTAAAGCTTTCGCAGTAGTTTCTTTGACTTCTACACTATCCAGCCATCTTTCAGCACAAACAGTATCAGTTTTGTGAGCACTTGAACCACTGATTTCCTTCCTTCTTGATTCCCTTCTGAGAAAATTGATAATTGAAGTGATTTAATGTATTTATTAAACACTTTTTTAACCTGATTTTTTTCTATTTTTTTTTTTACTGAAATATAAAATATTTTCACTCACTTTTCTCTAAGGACTTTGCACCCCGCCTTTCTTACTTTCTTTTTCTTCTTTTCATCTCGTTCCAACGATGACACATCATTGTAAGACTGGAGGGAATCAGCAGCATTGGTTCGCGAATATCCAAGTAAATCTAATTCACGTGGTCGCGACTGCGTATACACATGGGGTACTTCCACTCGCTCATCTGCTTTCAAAGGTTCTTCTAAGTTAACATCAAGTGCTTTGTAAATTTCTTCCATCTCATTCTGAATATTTTTTTATAAATTATTGCAAAGTGTATGTTGTTGAATCTACATTGTTTACTTCTTGAATGAAATGAACGAAAAGTTTTCCGAAATAAATTAAGCTATAAATATAAAAACAGGACGAACTTCATTTCCAGCAATTTCATCTTCATCAGTTGATTTAGCATTTTCAGGCATTTCACCTTCGCCTCTATTAACCTAAAAAAATTAAGTGTAGTACATAAATTTCCGAATACTTCCATGAAATCCAGCTTCATGCTTCTCAATAACGAACAAGTTATGTAAGCAAACTTCGAAAGCAATAAAATGAACTTCTGAAATACCTCAATAATTTCATGAAAATTAGTTGGTATAAATATAGCAAAGCTGATGTGTATTGAAACTACAAAAGGTATATCATTCAGGAGGTAACATATTTCGACAACTACGAAGCGTACCTGATGGATCACTGGTATATCATCATCGTCACTGGAACTTATCTCTTTACCAACTTTATTTTTTCTTCCTTTAGCTTTCTTTTTTTCTTTCTTTGCAGTTTTCCATGACAGCGTCGACTGCTGTTGTTCCATATATTTGTTGAGTCCCACCACTCCTATAATAAAAACGCATTTCGCCAATTTCAAGAAAACTACTTCCATAATTCTTTTATTAAATTTAGAATAAAAGTTTACCGGGTATTTCTAAAGGACTCTGCAGATCAGGAGTCGATCTTAGCTTTTCTGTTGCACCGAGGGGAGTTCGTGTTAATCGTTTGGAAGCACTACTCTTAATTTCTCCTTTCATGTAGTAAGGGTTATTCTCAATTTCAGCTTGTCGTTGTTTCAAGCGCTAAAAATGAATCAATTATACAGTTATGCTAATAGTTAGTTTTAAAATCTTCTTGCGTAAAAAAGTCACAAGTCGTAATAAACTAAACACTCGATTAAAAAAAAAAAATCCAAAGATTATTGTTTATAAACCTAGATCAATTACAACCTTTGATTTATTTCATGTAGCAACTTAGATGCACCACATATGCTGATTAATTTAGAATGTATGTCATTTTTTCCTTTTTTTTTTTTTTGAAATGACGGTCATGACTTCAAAATTTTCATACACTACAGCAAAGATTAATCAAAATTGGTAACTAAAAATAATTATTAATATCCAAACTCCTGTACAATCATCAAGAAAATTTTTAATTTCAATTGCTTTATTAAGATATTTATATAATAGCTATACTGGCTGTATCCCTTAAAGAATTTTTTTTCTTAAAAATGAATATACTTTTTGTAGTTCCTCTTCACTAAGTTCATCCTTGCTTCCTTTCGTTTTCGATAAATTTTCCCCATAATCACGATCGTCATCGCTACTATATCTGGGTGGACCACCAAAAACAACAAACTCTGGACGCACTGCAGTTTTTCTAGAAGCATTTTCATTTTCAGGCTCGCTAGTATCGTCTTCCAAATCCGGTTCATAAATCCAAGCATCAAGATCTAGCCTGCAATGATGACAGTGCGATTCTGCTATTTAGCGCAATTCTCCAAAAAGTTTGAATTCCTTAACAATCAGTAATTTTTAAGTCAAAAAAGTCTAAAACAAACCCTTCAGGAATCGGAACTTTTTTTTGTGCTTTCGCAGCAACTGGATTTAACTCCCCTTCAAAAAGCTTTGCGAATTCTTCACCAACTTTCTCATTATTAGAATGGAAACGTTCTATTATCTTCAAAATAGCTAAGAATGTGCAAGCCTGTAAACTTAAAAGCATAATTAGTCACAGATTTACTTGTGAGGTAATTTTGGAAAGGAACTTCTCACTTCATCAGATCAGAAGGTGTACGGAAAAAAAACAAAGGATTATTTCTATACCAACAAAGTAATTCTTCAAAACCAAAAAGATTATTCTTCGTACTTAATTTTGACTGATAACACGTTTTCGAACAAGGAATGCTGTGAAGAAATCTCGCAAACTTACTCGTTCTTGTGCCTCGAGATGATCAGCTAATACAAATTCAGGCAATTTAGATAACAGCAAATTGTCCAGACTATCAATTCCATCCCAATCATTCTCTGCTTCAGCTCTTACAAGCAATACCGCGTAAAGTTTGGCAATATTCTGCATGTAAACGCTAAGTATATGTCCTGGCATTATTGGTAATTTGGCCTTGAGCATAGCTTCTAATACACCTTGAACGTTGCAAAGATGCCTTAAAGTAGCAAGGTTTCAATTAATTTAATGATTTTTTGCAAAGTAGGAAAGTTTGTGCTTTTGATAGCACTGACTGCTATTTCTATAGTTATATAAGCTGTAGGAGGTTAAGGATTAGCAGTGGTAACAATAAGTTCATTCTACTTGTCTTTTTTTGTTTTCACCAACAAAATTTTCCATAATTTCATTAAACTTACTGGCAATATTCACCACAAATCCATGCTGCAGCCAGTAGCACTTCACACATATTGCTACGATGCTGTGCACTGCCGGCAAGCAGGAGATGAGCATTTTCAACAAGCAAAGCCATCTGAGACACCGAGAAATGTCTTATCGATTGAACGCGTACTGATACATCAAGCATCTGCAATTCTCAGACAAAAAAACTTTTGATAAAAATAAATTTTATAGAAGACCCCGCAACATTTTATTCTATTTGGATGTTAGATATTTTGTTCAATTACTACCCCAAAATAAATGATATAATGGAAAGAGTAAATATCAACTTATTAAAAGAAAAAATCGCCTAAAACAGTGTCAGTGACCTCAGTATCGATCATCAGTCTTCAGCATAATTTGCAGAACTGTGCAAATTCATCATCATCGGTCAAGTTTTTTTTTTTTTTTTTTGGACTTGATAAAATCAACATTTTGAAAAAAAAATTCGATCATGAATAGATGATCAAATAAACACCTGCTCAGCAATCATTGTACCATGCCTTGTACCTTCCACTTTCGTTAATTCTACCAGTACTGATATATACCTGCAAAAATTTACAACATAAATTATAACCCAGATTATAAGGTTAAAAAAGAAAAATCTTATGCTGTCTAACAACCGAAAGTCATTATTTCTGCAGTAATAGCAGAAACTATGAAAACTTTTCACCGTTTGGTATCAGAATTCCCTAAAATGTTTGGAATAAAAATAAATGAAAACCATTACCACTCAAAATTTGTAATATATTGATAATTATTGTATGAACATATTGCAATAATTCTTGAGAGCAGCTCATCACGATAATACGATCCTTCTGCTGCATCAACATGATCCATTAGTTTTCGCACAATTTCCATGATATTTCGTTTGGATACCATTCCATAGAGAAGATCTAATGCTCTTAAAGGCGACTTCTTTAAACCAGCGAAAATGTCTCATGATGAAATAATATTGTAGTATATTATCTTTCTGCTTCGGGAAATTTAAAGTTAAAATGAAGCACACTCAAAGCGCATTATAATTCATAAAAATTCTCTGCTATGTTCGAATTATGCATAAATTTGATAGAAAAAAAAAAATAAAGCGGAAACCTTAGACGAATACTTTCATCTCTGTCATCCAAACACCGCAACACAATATCTTTATGGGCCTGCACTGCTTTAGGATGTGTTTGCAAAATCTTTCCCATTGCAAGCAAACCAAGATATTTTAAGTTTTGGTCAGAATCTTCAATTAATACACCCAATTTCTGCACACAAAGCTGTAAAACATAAGAATACCAAAAAACAATAATCATGAGAGTGTCCATTAAAAAAGCTTTAATCTTTCTTTCCTGTATATGAATTGATATGGATTTCATGAAATACTCCCACTTGTTACATTCAAGTATAATTTTCATATAAACTGCAAATGGACGCAGTTAAAGACTTAAGATACGCAAGCACATTTCATTGTTAATCGTCCAATACAAATTTCCAAATCGCGTACCTGTATGCTGGCAGTATGATCACCGGGTACACCAGACGATATACTTATCAGTACTGAAACACAATCGCATCTGTTTATTAATGAATATAAACTCAAGTGAATTTAAAACTTCAAGGGATTACTAGTACTTGGATCAAATAAAAACATGACGTCAACTTGGAGACTGAAAATTGAGTTTTAGTACGTTAGTCAAAACATAAGGTTATGAAGTATCCTCAACAAGTATTAGCATTCTGTATGTACTAGCATACTAAGTCATTTAAGAAAATACTATTCGGAATTTATATTCTAAAATATTAAAAAAGCGCACCCGCAATAACTGTGTTGATGCATTCATATAGTAGTGACATCGCTGATGTGCTGAAAAATTAATTTTAGAGTGATAAATTTTCATAAGACTAGTAATGAGTAAGCATAAAGCAGCAGTTTATTAGCAAGCGTATCGAAAAGGTTTACACCTTTAACACCAACCTATTGATTAAATTCGTCAGCGGCTCCAGCAATTTTTTGCCAAGACGAGGCTCCAGTGGTACCAGTGCACCAAACTACAAAAAGTAACTATTACTCATGAAAATTCTTCCTCTAATGAGAAATTTATTATCGTTTTGGGAAAAAAAGCAAAGGAAAAATTAATGTTTTAGAACAGCCAAATTGATTCATAGTTTATCAAGCTGTTATTAAAAAGCAAACACAATAGATCAATATCACTATGTAATATTAACTTACTAGTTTGATAATTTTAATCAACATCCAGTTATTCGATGATGTTGTCATTAACTTGAAGAACACTGGTGCCAAAGTTAGATAATTTTTAGGATTTTTTCGTGCCAACTCACAAATAACATTCACTGCAGCACTTTGTACACCTGAAAAGATTAAGGAATTCAATCACCGACTTTAATTCATAGTATTGTAAGGCTGCATTCAAAAGAGAAAATTGACTGTAATACCTGGATCCGGGTCCTCCAGCTTTTCCTTCAGCCGTGGAAAAGTAGGCCTTAGAGAATCTGGATATTTAAGAAAAATTTTGTACAATAGCAATACACATCTTTTGCGCACATATGGTCGACTAGAAGAGAGCTGAAATAAAACATTAGTTTATAAACTTCGCCCTGTATTACCATGATGACCCGGTCCCAGTCCCAACTTCCTAATACTAGGAAATCACATTGCTTCAAAAAAAGCAAGAAAAAAATCTTTAAAATACATAAAAGCTTGTCATATTTCATAAAATTAAAACGGACAATTCTCTCAGAAATGATTCCTAACTATTGAAAATATTAACACACAAGATTCACAACATCGCTAGTAAGATCTCGCGCCAAATCAGGCGTAACAAAACATGAAAATGCTCCCAGTGCTATACCCGTCTCGTACATTATAGAACTGTGTAAATCTTTTCGTATTAAATTGGTAGTCAACATTAAAACATCGGTACCATCGTGGAAACACTGTGATGCTGCCATATAACTAAAAAAAGAAAGAAAATTTAAACATTAACTGATTGATGTATAACGAGTGCAAAGAACTTACGGAAGAGGTTGAAACCAAATGGGGCAAAGTCGATGAATTGCAGTTATACTTTTGTACCAAGTTAGGTAAGAAAACAGTCTAACAAAAACAAAACAAGCTCTAAGTTCCCAAAAATATCACTACAATAAATGTCAGAAGTCCAAGTAAGATTCTGTTTGCATTTGTCTGTACCATAGCATATTGAAATACTTTTACTTATCACAGAAATTATTAAGAAATCATCCGGCCATTTCGTTTTAGACTTCCCTCCGCTTTTTTGGTCAAATTTTTAAAATATTTTTAAAATATTTAAAATATTTAAAATATATGAAAAAATACCCGATACGCTTCTCAGTAAATTTCGTTGATGCCATCACTTCAATAATATTGAATGATGCCCATGATATGTCATATCCCATCATTTGCAACTGAAACCTCTTATCTCTTATTGTGTTCAGTAACTCGCAATTGAAACTGTATTATGCATGATGAATAACAAAATACTCGTGCTAAGAGTAACAAGTAAATATTATCATTTTATTACGGATAACTGCTTGTTATCATCTTATTACCACCGTTATTATCTTAACGAATAATCAAACAACATCTGACTATCCACCCATGAACTGTAAATAAATAATGACTTATCATTATCATCGGAGGTTTGCTTGAATAATCTTCATGCGATTTATTCAATAGTTCATCATGTTAATATCCTGACAGTTTATAACTCAATAATGATATATTTTTGGAACACCAAATTATTTCATTTTCATATTCTGAATTTTCTCCTTCTGTGGATTCCTTTCCACTCTATTAAATTCAAAATATAGATTGTTGATATGTGTTAAGTACATACATAAGCAAGTTTTTCGATCGCATTTGCTTTGATAAAAACAGAATCCTGTCGAAGTTCCATCTTGATTTCATGAATACATGCTGCGATGTATCGGGCCTAAACGCATGATACAGTTACATAGAATAACAGAAGATGGAACTGTAATTCCACCAGTCTTTGTTTTTACTCCTTCATTTAAATGAATTATCCGTCATCACTGCTATAAACAAAAACTAATACTAACCTCATTGTCCTTATTGTTCCGGATCCCACGGATCAAGTCTGTCAGACTTTTATCAAAAAAACGATCCAAATTACTACGTACTTTACGTAATGCCATCAATTTAACAAAACTGAAATGTATAGCAACTTCATTTTTTTTCTCACGAATTTCTTACGTATATTTCTCTACAAATATCTTCTAAATTCTTTCCCTTTTTTTATTTTCAAATGTTCTACGGAAAATGATAAGAAGTGAAAATATTAATTTCGGCTATTCTTCGATGGTAAAAAGAAATGACCTCATTTTTCAAAGAATTCAATTCAAAAATTACTTCGTCAACTAAAAGTTCCTCATATTCTACTCCTTACAATCCCAATCCTTAAACTTTTTCCATGTTTAATCTCCTTCAAAAACTAATATTAATTTCATGTAGCATTAGGTTTCTGTTTAACATACTAAAATAATTCAGAAAAATGGTACCTCACGCCAACTTTTCTGAATTATACGTCACTTAAGAAGAAGCGAGGCCTCTCTGTTAGAGCAATAGACGTGTTCAGCAGTGGACGTGAGACAACGGCGTATGATACGTAGTTGTGTCACAATTGAAGATATGTACGAACCGTTTTGGTTTCTTAATGAAATAAGAATTGCTTTGAATAAGTTAAGCGTGAAGTTTGGAATTGTATGGAGTTTTTTTTTTAAGAAGATTTAAGCGTAGATGTTTGCGTAAATGTTTTCAGGAATGTTAACGCCAGTATTTCACATTGATCAAACGCCAGAATGGATTATCATTCAAATTTATGCACCCTACGCTAATGTGAAAGATACTGAGGCAGAATATTGTGACCTACAATTCTTTTTCACTTCGAAGCCATATTTCTTAAAGTTATATTTACCTGGTGAATTAGCTGAAGAAGATATTACCGGCACATATGACTGCGATAAAGGTAAGTGAATATTTTTAAAAAGTTAAGTGATTTTGGTCTTGCTTGTAATTTGATAATTAACTAATGATGGGGTTTATTATGCTCTGAATAAATTTTTAATTTTTCTATTCTTAATACTATTTGAACTTTCTGTTTTTGTCTTCGAAAATTTCAACTTTCATTTCCTAAATATTGTGCCGTTCATCTATGTAAATATTATTATTATATCAAATAGATTTGATTTGTCAGGTTGAGGATACCTACCCATATATATTCCTTAAACACACACATGATCAGTAATTAATTAATAATAAATTCCTTTCACATCTTTTTCATGCAAAATCTTCCTGTAAAGATCAATTTTAAAATAACCATTTTCCATTCGTTATATACAACTTGTATAAAATCGTTGGTTATATAATTAATCTTTTCTCTTTACTACCCTACCGTGATATTTGTCTTTTTTCAGGATCGTTTACATTCAAAGCTCGGAAGAAAAATATTGGTGAATTCTTCCCTAATTTAGATTTAGTGAATCAGTTACTAAAACCATCAGATATCCATGCAAAACGGTTGGTAGAAGAAATTGATGAAGGTAGAGGTATTGTTTGGTTCTTTTTTTCTGCAGTTATTAGGTTTACCGAATTCCATTTTGAGCTTCTGTCCATCTAAACATCATGCATTAAGCTGAATTTGCCTAAAATTCATAACTTTTTGCAGATATTTTGGACAATGTCTCTTTTGAACAAGAAAATTCCCAAACACTGAATGGCAGCATGGTTGACGATTTTATGGATGAGAAATGTAAACTCTACGGTTACGGTTTTGCTTGCAGTCGTTGCGGTATTATTGGAAAATTTAGCGCAGAAATAAACAACCTTTTCGATTTGGAAGATCCTGAAAATTCACTAATTGACGAAAGGCTTATGGATTGTTTAAGGCATGATCAGTTGAAGTTCAATGCCGATCATTATATGTATGTTTTGAATTTAAATTAAAGATTGAGATTTCTTTTTTTTTCGAACAATGTTCCATGCTTGTCTATAAACTTACATATAATCAAATGAATCAACTTTTTCAGTGCTGATCAGTTTGAGAAGAATCCTTTATTGGATGAATGTTTACAGTTTGAATATCCTGAAACGACGTTTGATTTATCTTTCAAAAGTCGTGATCATTTGAAAGATTTGCCCAGAAAACTATTTCCCAAATACTCGTCTAATTTAGAAAAAACAATTGCGTTATCTCTGATAGATATTATTTTTGCTTATTTATATGATATGAGGACTACATGCGGCGAGCATTCCTCTGAATCTGGTTTGTTTTGAGTCATTTCATTTTAATAATGTAGGTGTATTTAGGATATGTACTTTTATATTTAAAATACGTAATTCATTGGACTCATAAAAAAAAGAAATCTCTAATGTGCGTAAAATAAATATGTAGAATGCACATATTCTAGTGTTTTTATAAGTTGTTTGTATTTTTTTTTTTCGTTTCAACAACTTCTGCTTTTATGTAAGAGACATGTAAAACTTGGACGCTTTTCTTTTCATTTTAAGTTTAGTGGATGATACCTTTTTAGTCCATCACTATACTGTATGAGGAACTCATTCAATAATCTTTTATTTCTTTTCTTTGCTAGGTTGGACGATTACAAAGTTGAGTCCTAGTCTCAGTTATTTGGTCAGATGGAAGACAGTGAAGGAATCTATACTAGGTGCTGTAAGAAGATCGTTGTGTTTTCCTCTTTATCGGCACTGGGATTTATCTATGAAAGTATTAGACGATTTGAAATTTCTCCTCAGCAAAGGTAGATTTAACAATTTTACTTTTACTTATTTATTTTTGGAATTTAAGACATTTAAATTGATGTTTCTAATTTCCCTTGAGTACTGATCATCAAGCATCTTGTACCTCTACTGTGGTGTTTAATATTTTCGTTTAAAAAGACCAAAGAATTTAATAAAATTCGTTGGATTTTTGTTATAGGTAGGGTGACGTTGTTGCAGTGTCTTGTCGATGTGCATATGATTTTATCAACAAGTGGTGACTATCGTTATCTGTTGAATGACTTATTTATAACTGATTATTGTTTATGGATTCAATGTGCCTCAGACAATGTTGTGTCATGGTTACAGTGCGAGTTGAATCGTTTAATTTTGAAAAAAATTGATGTCCAGTTAGATCTGGAAGAAGTGGAGATGGAAGCAAAGTTGCTGACTTTGCACATAGATACTGGAAATTACGATTCTGAGGATTCAGATGATGGTTCTTCCGAGGTTAATATTCGGGAGACAAATCAAATCGTAAACAGCTATACATAGTTATTTCTTTAATATATCATCTTGGTGGAAAATGCTGAGGACATATCCTTTACTAATTCTCTTAAGCATGTAAGGAAGCCATAAGGTAAAAAAAACCCAAATCGCAACAAAATAAATGCGTGCCTATGGAATGTTACGCATATTAACCGATTATGAATTACTGACTATATTGATTGCATAGAAGCTTACCTGTTGTTATTAATTCATATTCGTATATCGCTGCTAAAGATCTGACGTGAGACTTAAAAGTCCGCGTTGTTTTTCTACTTTAATTAACGGGATAAAATAAGAGCAGAACAATATAGATTGCCATCATAAATGCTGCTACCATCTTTAGTACTGCTTGGATCCTAAACCTATATGCCTAGAAATACGGGATAACATCAAACTAAAAGTTTTTCAGGTGCATTTAATGAACAGAACGAAGGGATAATGATATAGTTAACTATTAAATATGTTGTTTGAATGTACTTCTTAACTTACATGTCACATGTAGTAATTTTTGAGATTTCCGAAATTGGTAATAAATAGTTAATAATTTGCTGGAGCATATTTAAAAGTATTACGCCAGAATACTTACAGCCAGTGGAGATTCGAACTATTATATGGTTAAAAATTTAATTGATAGAATGATGCTAACTGTATGACAAGCAGTAAACTTGTAGTAACAGTAAATTTACTGCATCTTTCAGGATCATCAAATGTATATAATGCTTAGGTATTTTATTTGCAGTTATAACACAGCTTCAGACTTTAATAAAGATGCTGGCCATTCTTGGTGATTATATATGTCATATTCAATTTCTTAATGTCAGTAATTAGAGACTCATTTAATTACAGTTGCTTTCATGAATACTTAGTGAGTGGCTGATAAATGATTGAAGTTTTAGTTTTTTTTTCGAAGTGAGAAAGCTCTGCTATGCAATGAGATTGTAATTATTATTCAGCAGGACATTACCATTGCCTTTGTTCACTTCCTGAAATGAAAATGCTCCTTGATTACTCCTATAGATTTATTGCACAAACGTCCCATATAATGACATTTATGCTGAAATAGGAATAAAGAATAAATTTTGGGAGGTAATGTTTGTGTTTTATTTTACATCTATTTAAGCAAATGTTTTTTGGTTCTCAATATTCGAATTTAGATATTTTCTTTCTACATTATCGTCAATAAGAGAGCACGAGGCAAGGAGGGAATATAGTTGTCAAGTTTAAATTGTGTTAAATAGTGTTGTTATTTGTCGTGACAATATTTGAAGTCTTCAGGTTTCGAATGTTTCATTCCTGTACAGTTTTCATTTACTTATTCCCAATTTCAAATGTATAATTTATGCGGACTACTAATCGGCAACATTTCATTTTGTACTTACAGGTTTGAAAGATATTAAAATTGATTTTAATGTCAACAAGTCGTGTTGCTGTTTACGGTGGTCGAGGAGGACTTGGTTCAGTAATAGTTGATTATTTTAAAAATAAAAATTTTGTAAGTTATGTGCTTTAGACGTTGTTTGGTTTTCTTAAAATTTTCTGGAATATATAAATCTGTTTTTAGTCTATTTAGGTTGTATTTCAAGCAAAACATTCTTTTACAAATTACTTTGATTACAAGGATGAATTCACCGTGTCTAGTAGTAATGAGAACTCGCATTGCTTTACTTTGCTGTATGAAGTGTATTAGAGCAAATTAAATTTTAATAGATATAAATCATTGCAGTGGATATTAAACATAGATGTTTTGAAGAATGATATGGCTGATGCAAATGTAGTAGTAAACAAGGATGCATCGTGGACGGAACAAGAAAGCTTAATCCTCAAATCGTAAATCTAAACTATTCTTATTAATTTTGAATTTCAGAAAAAAAACTTTTGCAGTTTTTTCTTTTAATTGAGCTGTGAGTACGAATTTATGTTAGAAAATAAGTTTAATTGGTAGAAGTAGTTCTCTCTCTTTCTAATCCGTTTTGCAAATCATCCTGGTGACTCAGTAGGTCAAATTATTTAGTATTGATGAAACACTGCACGGTGAACGTTTGGATGCAATATTATGTGTAGCAGGTGGTTGGGCGGGCGGTAATGCCAGTAGTGAAAATATGATTAGAAATTCGGAAATTCTATGGAAGCAAAATGTGTGGACATCAACTATATCTGCTCGAATTGCTGCATTGTATCTGAAAAAGGACGGTCTTCTTCAATTTACTGGTGCTGCATCAGTGAGTTTTTATCTTTTTTCATGCTAAAAGAGGAAGAAATTTCCATTAGTACAATAGAGAATATTATTTAGAAATGTAGTATTTGAGGACTTAAATTTTAAATATGACATATTCATGCAAATTAACTAAATCTTAGTTCGAAATTGGTTACAATTCGTTTTCTAGCTTCGTTCAGTTTAACTTTAACTTCTGAAAACTTCATACTCACAGGTATTGAAAGATACATCAGGAATGTTGGGGTATGGTATGGCAAAAGCAGCAGTACATCAGTTGACCAAAAGTCTTGGCACCAAAAAATCTGGAATACCTGATGCATGTACCGCTGTTGCTCTTTTGCCAACAATGCTAGATACTGCACAGAATCGTAAATGGATGCCAAAAACTAATACTGATTCGTCAGTTTTCAAAAATAATTTTGTTTGCAAATAATTAGCACTTTCCAGTATTAATTAATATGGATCTCGAAAGTTGCAATTCGAAATGGAATTATATTAAGATTTATGAAAACTGGAAGAGTTACATGATGCACATTATATAAAATCAAAAAAAAAAGTATTAAAATTATGTTTTACCTCTAAGGAACGAATAATAGTTGAAAGCTTAAGGAAGAGTCGATCTTGTAAAAGGATATGTTTTGCCAATTATTATGCTCTTTTGCCAGGCTCAGTTATTATATATATATATATAATCTCGATTTTTTTTATAACTAAATTGAATTTGCCAGAGTCATAACTTGAATTAATTCCAAATATTCAGATGGACGTCACTTAATTACATAGCAGAACTACTGCATGAATGGACTTTAAATCCATCATTACGGCCTCCAAGCGGTTCACTGGTCGAAATAATTACACAGAACAAGCAAAATGAGTTGAAGATACACTGATCTAACATCAAATACTGAATTAAATCTATCTTTTTTCGACCACCTTTAAATTATTTTCTGTTGCTTTTATTTCATAGCTTTCTGTTTGATTTTAATCAGTCACTTGTTGATATCATAGCGTATAATAATATTCTTTCTATTCCATGTATTTTTCAACATCATATGTAGTTTCATTAACAAACAAGCAAATCTTCGGTACAACTCGGTTGATTTGATCGGTCACAGTAATAATCAGTCATAACAATGATGATTCATTGGTGGATCTTTTCTGCTTATATCTGTTGAACTGAATATTGTATTTTATTTTATTTCAGTGTTTTTTTCTTACTCTTTCTGCCTAATAAAGCCAACAGACAAAGGTAGGGTTTCTTTTGTATCTACAAATTAAAAATAAACTGGAGTTAGAATGTAGAAAAAAAGTTGTTAATTAAAATAAATTTTGTTAAGAATAAATCAAATTTCCGGCCATACCTGAAATCCAAAACATCTACTTAAAAGTCTTCAAATTTCTCACTTTTCTAGATGAGAACAGGAATTTAATCCGGTATGCTCCTAGTCTATATCATTCAGATAAGTTTTAATTGAATATATCTTCGTCATCTCTCTCATTATTCGTTTGAAAAAAGTCAAGATAATTCCCAAAGACTCCGGTTTCCATCATTTTTCTTTTGGATTTCAGATTATGTTTTATGTTTCAAGACTTCACACATTCAGAATTTAACAGTATAAAATTCCTTCGATATTTTCCATACTTCTGTTCATCTTACGCTTACATTCACACACGTAATGACTGATCACGTGTGAAGTGTAACTGTTGAACAGTATCTGAAATGACGAATGTGACTAAAAAAAGTGCATATTAAAGGTATTCCTATTCGTACTATTCGTCAGCCGCTCTTTCCGTATTTTTTTGTTTTTTCTTTTTTGAAGAAACATTTTTATAAAATTTTTATAATCAAAAAGAAAAAATTCATTAAACAACATACTTTTTTAATTCTATCAAGTGGCATATTCAGGAAGCAAAAACCATATACTATATAAAATAATAATCAGATGAAAATCTAAATAATAACATACTTCCTAATTATCTTTTCAATAAATCCTTCGAGTGTTTCTATCATTAACTGATGATATCGTCTGCTCACCAAACAATAAAAACAGAATTCTACTGTAGCATTGATGTTGCAAAGAAAGAAAATGCTTCGAAAGTTTATATCATCAACACATCTGTTATACATAAATTAGTTTATTCATTGATCGATCAGATATGATTGTTAATTGATAAGGCTGACAAAATTATTCATTTAATCAACAATTATATCCATTGTTTCGTCAGAAAGAGAAATAATTTCTATTTGCAGAACCAAATATCTTAACCTTTCTTCCTACCTATCCATGAGTTTATAAAGATGAAAAATGAAATACCTTTTGAGTAACCCATATATAAGTGATTGTTATCAAATGATACTCTCCATAATGATTAAAGAGTAATCAGACTGGTCCTTGCGACCCAGTACATATCAGTAGCATAATTACAACCGCAAATAATATTGCATTATCATCGAAACATTGTGCTTTTAGCTTTTGTCTTTTGACTTTCTATGACGCCCTGAAAGTTTCGAATTTCAAATTTTCGTAAAGACTTTGTAATGAATATAACTTTTAGAAAATGAAAGAAATTGAATCATTAAGAATTCTTGCAGGCTAGTTTATTTATAGCGAATAGAGTGATGTTTAGATAGGATGATGACATTTAGCAGTAAATGACACTTACCAATAAACTGTCATAAAATTGGTTTACAAACGGGATACAAGGTGAAGGACTTCTTTTAGAAAATTGAAAAAAGAAGTTTACCATTCCTTTCACTCTTCTTCTTCTCTTCTAATCTCAACTGACCGTTTAAAAAGCTTTAATTACATAAATATCCGACTTTTTATTTGTTCAATAAGAACAGAAGTATCATTCCCCTTGACGAGAGTAATATTCTCAGTAGCCGTATTATTGTTTCCTGTAGTAGTTATAGTGATATTGTGACAATGATTGTACGACAATTCATATCATCCATATCATTATCATTATCATCACTATTACTTGTGAATCTTCCGCATGTTTTCAGATCTCGATCGCAATTTTCCATAATTTATTATCAATCGATTGTTAAGCGTACAAAGGGTCACAAGCGACAATATACTGAATGCAATGAGAATAAAATAATCCATTAAGCAATAATATATCTACAAATGAAAGCAATTAAGAAAAAAAAATTTTTTTTAAAGAAATTTTGCAACGATAGATTGATTTAAGCAAATATTGCTTTAATAGTCATTCATCAGTAAATATAAAACATTATAATTGCAATAAAAATGTCACACTAATTATCATTCATCAGGTGTGATAATTAGAGCTTACAATTTCGAATTATTACTTGAAGTAATAAGACAAAAATATTGACCTAGATGAATAAGACTGAATTCTATAGCATATCAGCCATTAAAGGAGACATATCAGTGATATATTATCAAACAGATATTCCAGTAAGAATAGTAATACGAATTGTAATCTTTAAATTATGTGATCGTAACGGATGGTAAACATCGTGTAAAGTTCCAAATTAAATATTATACTAACAAACTGAAGTTGTTATTGTAATACTGTTGTTTAGGATTATTATTGTTGAAAGTAATGAGAAGTAGTACTTTCATTATTTTGATTGTAATATCATTATTTGAAATAAAATAATGCAGAAGCATAACTTACAAACTGATAAACATTCGTACGTACAACGCTGAATAGATATAAATAATGAAAACTTCAATTGTTGCTGACACCAGAAAGAAGCAATCACAAACGGATAAAACTAGTAGTAAATCCTTGTAGCAAAATATTATTAGTAGTATCATTTCTAAATTAAGTATTAAATTTAATACCCATTTTGAAATATTGTATCATTAGAAAAAAATTATTTATTTATTCTTTTGTTGTAATATGATTCTTAGAACACAGTATATTACCGTTCATCAGATATTCAACATAATCACTATAATCATTATTTAAATTATCATTATGCCAATCATTTCTTACAAAGCAAAGTAAATAAATTGATGAATTATCGAAATGGAATATGCCATGCTGAAGAATAAGTGGACATGATTAAAATGTTAAGAAGGTTATAAACTAGATTGATAATAACAATGATAGATAAGCAGATTATATTAGACCATCAAATTATCTTCACTGCTTTCTAAATTTATTTATTAATATTTGATAACAGAGGTAAATTTTTAATGCAAATCAAAACAAAATACCAAAATTTAAAGATTCAGCATTATAGCATTCACAATTTTAATGTTAATAATTTTAGATGAAATATTTACTGTTCATATAGATCTATAAATTGTACTGTTTTTTTTTTTTTTTTTTTTGAATTTTCTCTAAGCTGTACGAATGAAAGCATTATTAACTCTTATCAAAATACTATCGCATGACAGAAGAAGAAATAGAGGGAGAGAGAGAGAGAGAAGGAAGAATCTTAAAACTGATTGAAAACATATCCGAATTCTATTCGGATACTTTTCTTTTAACTTTATTGAGTGAATAATCCTTAAAGTATATACTGATCTTTCAGTCTGACAAGAATCATAAAATAAATTTTTTTCTTGTTTCTTATGTTTATTAATCTATTTGCATCGTTCATATCTATGAAATACAAATTCAGGAATGGTACCAATTACCTGATCTATATTTTGATTACTAGAATAGGGTCTAATGATTCCTAACAAATAGGAAGTACTTACTGCAGGATATTGTAAGACATATTTTAAAAACTGTTTTTGTAGTCTACCAAAAAAAAAAAGAAAAGAAAAGAAAGGAAAGAAATTGCGTTATCACAAATCCATTTTTGAATTAATTCAGTGATAGAATTTTATTTCCAGTAATGAGGTTATTCTGTAAATCTATGAGAAATTTAATATTGTATGAATGGAATTAACAGGAATGCAATTATATTTCGTTGTAATTAATAAACAAAATTGATGCTTCCTCTTTGTTTGATCACACAATTTTGAGCATTAATTTAACTTCAAAATTATTTTTATTATAACGTTTTCCGAAGATTTCATTTCCTAATTAATATAGTACCGTATGGATTGATCACAACTAGCAAAAAGTATCCATGAGTACTTCAGTGGGAACTCTCGGTCTCCTATTCTATTACTGCGGTAATAACATATTCTCGTTATCTTTTCTTTGCAAATAATGCATCGTGCGATAATTGCGGAAAGTTTGCAATTCAAAAAGATATCAAAACAATAATATATGTTTGCAACTGAATATAATTCAAAATTCGTCATTTCTATAAATAAATTTTTAAATGTTTTGAAAGTGCTCATTTTTATTCTATTCGTAAATGTTTGACATGATTCAATTTGTAATAGTACAAAACATTATTGTATGTTTTGAAGTTTAATCAAATTTCATTTTTTTTTCTCCTAAAGTTTATATTAATTAAGTATCTGAAATAATACAAAAATTATTCAAATAACATCGATTGTGCTAACAAGATTTTTTTTTTCAAGAAGAAAAAGAGCAATAATTTTGAGATGAGAAGAAGATGACAGCATTTTTTTTTGTAAATTAAAGAAGAATGAACGAAAGAGCTTACCTCGAAAGGGTTTAATTCATCAAATCAATTTTTATTAATGAGCTTTTGTTGATACAAAGATGAATCGTCCTTTTAATGAGATATTGTTACTTATTATACAAATTTTAATTCATATAAATCATTTAAATTCTTGCATTAAGTTTCAATTTAATGCAAATGTGAATATAAAATATAAGTCTCTACAAAATCAGTTATATTTCAATGATTATAGTAAATTGAAAAACGAAAGTAGAAAAACATTTGAAATGGATTTTAGCTAATTTTTTCATCCATACACTATTTTAGTCAAATATTTTTCGGAATTAATTTCAATAAACTTGATTTCATCAACGAATAGAT